CCCATCGTATGACATCAAGAATATGTCCTTAGTTTTTGTACTCATGGATTTCGGCATTTTCAGCTTGCGGTTACCCCGATTGAGCAAACATGGCTCGTGGACCGAAGAAGCATCTGAAGCGTCTAGCAGCGCCAAAGCATTGGATGCTGGACAAGCTGGGAGGAGTATTTGCTGTACGCCCACGAACAGGACCACACAAGCTACGAGAATGCCTTCCTATTAACCTCTTCCTTCGAAACCGTCTGAAGTACGCTTTGAACTACGCTGAAGTGAAGAAGATCATGCGTCAAAGAGTTATCAAGGTCGATGGAAAGATCCGTACTGATCACAAGTTTCCCGCAGGATTCATGGGTGAGTAGATAAAAGTGTCCAAAATCTTTCTTTTTTTTTACTCCAACCCATTATTTTAGATGTTATCAGCATTGAACGCACCAACGAAACCTTCCGTCTTCTTTATGATGTGAAAGGGCGTTACACCGTGCACAGAATCACTGCCGCTGAGGGACAGTTCAAACTTTGCAAAGTGAAGGCGCTTCATGTTGCCAAGGGAAACATCCCATTCATCACCACCAATGATGGACGTACTATCAGATATCCCGACCCACATATCAAGGTATGAAAAGCTACGCAATCTATTTCTCAAACATTTTCGATTACTCCGATTGAATATCTGGACAACATTTCGCTTTATAGATCAACGACACCGTTGTCATCGACCTCACCTCCAACAAAATCACTGACTACGTAAAATTCGAAGCTGGAAACCTCGCTATGGTTACTGGTGGTAGAAACGTTGGTCGTGTTGGAGTAATTGGACATCGTGAGAAGCTGCCTGGAGCCTTCGACATCATCCACATCAAGGATGCTGCCGGACACTCCTTCGCCACCCGGTAGGTTCTCTTGGGAAGGAGAAAGAAGGTCGGGGGCTCGAATATGCCGTAACTGCCGACCCAGGTTGGTTGATTCCTAATATGATAGTGGAGAATTTTCTAGAGTCTCCAATGTGTTCGTTATCGGAAAAGGAAACAAGGCTCTTGTCTCATTGCCAGCTAGCAAGGGTATCCGTCTCACAATCGCCGAGGAGAGAGATAAGAGATTAGCTCAAAAGAAAGCTTAAATGTGTTGTTATTTGTTGATAAATGATTGTTACTTATTCTGTGTAACATTACAGGAGAAATGTGAAGTTATGCTTGCAATTATTGATTGTAAATGTGACATGTTTCGTTTTACCGACTCAACAAAATA